TCACTGCAGGGACTTGCTTAGATGAATTTTTTTCTAAAAAAAATTATAGATCTATCAAACATTTTAAAAATTTATCTGCCTATGTAAAAATAAGATTTAATGATTAAAACAATTTACCAATTCAATGAAAATGAAATTAAAAATAACGTAAAAATGCTTACTGATTCGAAATGATGACTAGAAATAATATTTATTTTTGTTGAGCGGTTGATAAATTTATGAGATTTCAAGGTTGAAGCAAATGAAAAATGAAATAGTTTCTATTTGTGTAAGCCCTAGAAAAAAAAACGCATCTGACTTCTCTTTGAAAAACAATTGGCAGTTTCCTCTTTCTTGTATTTAAATTTGGAGTGTTCATTTGGTGACAGAAAGAAAATGACTAAAAAAACTTTCCGAATTCCTTTCTCTGTATTACACTAAGGCCCTGTTTGATTGTGTGTTTTTTTCCATGGAAAATGAAATGGAATTTTCTACTTTTTCCTTGTTTGATACCCCAAATTTTCTTGGCAAAGTAAATTCTTGGCTACCCACTCAGTGCCTCTTTTCTTGGATTTTGTGGAGGTACTGTAGCATATTTTTCATTTTCAATTTACTTCTTTATTTTATTTTTTGCAATGAAAATAAATTCTAAGAATTATTGTAAAAAAAATATTTTCTTTTAATTGACAGTTTTCATGTAAAATAAAGTCAAATGAATACCAAAAGATAGATGATTTTATTGAATTTTTTTATTTTTTTAGCAATGAAAACAAATTTCATCTCCAATACTAATAAAATATATCACTTTAATTGACAATTTTCACATAAAATAAAGCTAAACAAACACCAAAAATACTTTTATTCAATGAATTCCATGTAAAAAATTATACCCATCAAACACAATTATTTATAATTCCTAAAAAAATAATTTCTAAATAATTCAATTCTCTTAAATTATTTTCTTTCCACCCAAATTCTATAACCACTGTCAAACGACCCTAAAGATAAAAGTTACCCTCCTATGGATGTAGGCGATATGCCAGTAAAATCATTTTGTCCATTTCTAGATTTTCTTTTTGTGGTTTTTCATTAGTTCGCTCTTCTAGTTTGAGTTTCATCTGAATTTGGCTGTATTTATTCTTGAGTTCTGTGAAGGCGGTCTTCTAGTTTTTTAACATTTTTGCTGCTACATGTACATATAAAATAAGCTACAAAAAAGAATTAGCTTCAAATTTTGTTAATTTCTTTTGAATGTTTGGTTTACGAAACAATGGTTGTTTCCGATTATTTTTAGTTTGTGAAATGTGTTGGGAATCTACTTATACATGCACAGCGGAATTTAAAATAATTTTCGATTCCCACCAAGAATCGCCTTTGTGTTTAGATAGAAATTGTGATAAGATTGTATTTTTCCAGATCTGCAATCTTTTTGCTTTTCTTTTCGTTCCATCAATCTTGATTCGCCACCACAGCTGTCCAATTGTCCAGCCTCCAACGCTGATCCACACAGAGAATAAGATTGCAACTTCTAGAGTTTTCTCTTGTGCCAGCAAGAATAATGAAAACCAATATGGACCTCAAACCCTAACTATATATTTATATAAACCCAAACGGGCTCGGCCCGATCCGGTCCAATATTTAATTAATCCAATTAATTAAACATGGTCCGTGAATTAATTAATCCAATTAATTAATTCGGGAATATAAATAACAAATCCAATTAATTAATTTATCCAACGATTGTTAAATTAACCAATTGCCTATTTGCAATCTTCCAATTCTCTTTTGTGTGCGACCCATTAGATTCCCGACCACGATGCCTAACGACGTGAAATATTATTTTGATCTAATCAAAATTGATAAATTAAAACACCCTTTTAATTTATCGTCAATTCACACTCGCCGTCCCAGATTGACATCTAGCAATGTGTCAGGGCAATACATGTGACTGAAAATGTCACGTGGTATGACAAAACCAAATTCGTTCGTTTACCGTGAAACTATAATCCCTTCGTCAATATGATCTGATCAATTACGAGATATGGAATTGTGTCAATCTCGATCATCGATCATATCTTTCACTCCACTATTAAGTCAATATAAGTCAAAAACTCATTTTCGACTTATGAGTATACCTTGGCCAAGGATTTCGTTATCGACTTAATTGAATGAAACGCAGATCATAATCTCTTACTATCTAAGAGTGACAAATCCTTTATTGATCAATCACAACCTTCATACGATTCTTGACGTACTCGAACAATGTCGTATTAGCGGCCCTTTTCAGAGCAACATCCAATATCGCCAAAGTATGACTGTCCTCATATAAGGTACCATGACGACCTCAAGTCAAAGGACTAATTTCACTACCGAACGTTAGAGATTAACCGCTGACACTCAGATAGTTATCCATGTGGAATCTCTCGATGGGTCTCCAATGTTTTGTTCTATAACAAAACATCTACGTGTTCATTTAAGTGTCTCCACACTTTAGCTTGTGAGATCAGCTACTTACTTTACAAGTAACAAATGCCACACGTGATGGTCTATCCGTAATAACGATTTTCGTATCTCGTTATTATTTACGACCACGAATGATTCAAGATTCAATCAGATGTAATTTGTATTTCACAATCACAACTCCTTGTAATTAACAAATTACAAAGATTTGAATCTACGGACTCTATTATTTATTTAATTGTCTATTAATTAAATAATAGATCTGCCATTTAATTGCATTAATTATATATATAAAAGTATTTATGTTCAAAGTTGATTGGATATAGGGCATAATACTTACAAAATGGAGATTGTCATAGATTAATAGTTTGATATAATACAACCTTTGTTTTCGATTATTTTATTTTATTTTTCTGGATTGATGTTAAGTATCGGATATGAGTCTCTATCATGCTAGTTACTTTTAAAAGCTTTCATTACGAATTTAATGGCATAGACTTTCATGATTCCACTAATACAAGTATATTTTTCTTCTGCTACTTGATTCTTTGTATTAATAATCTTTATGACTCTTGTTGGTTGGTTTTTTTTTTTTTTTTTTCAAAAGCGCCACATATTTTACATGCATTAAATACGTTGATAATGATAGGCTACTAAACCACACAAAATGAGTTGCTAAAAAAAACAGATCGATAAAAAAGAAGTAATATAAGGGCACGTGTAACAAAATTTTTTGCACAAGTTTCAAAAGAATTAAAAATTATTAATCCGAAAAGATCGCTTAGATTTAAGAAAACATTGTTTTAATATTTTTTTTGTTTTTTTTGTGTTTTTTTTTTTTTTTTTTTTTTTTTTTTTTTTTACTAGTGCTACAATCTTTAGTTATGAGAACTTTTTTGGTGTTATCTTCTTTTTATTTCAGATTTATGACTTTCAAGTCAGAAATGGCATTTATCATATTGGTACGATAACGAAATTCATGCATAAATTATATGTTTAATCTGTTATTTTGTACTAGCTGTACCCTTTGAATATTGTGGAGGTCTCTGAACTGGATCATGAATGAAAAGACAAGTAAACTTTTGAGTGAAGACCATAAACTAAAATCTTATAATTAATTTTTGCTGAGCAGTTCAGACAACGTCAATCCTCATAATCTTTTTCTTAACAAGGTATGTGCTCCTCTGGATAGATAAATGACAGTAATCAAACGAATTTTGTTTGAATCAGTTGCTTTCAGTAACTAAAATGGTTCAAAACTGTAGTATAAACCGCCTTCTTCTTGTCCTATGCTCCTATTGAATTCAAGTTTTGCTTACTAACTAGATTTGCAACGACGATACTGAGCAATGTTGCCTAAGATTAAATTCTTTTCTTCGCAGTGACATGAGAACCAGAGCATTTGCTCTGTTCTCTACAGGCTTGAATCCTAGTACTGGCTCATATAATTTGTGTTTCCATTATTGTTAATGGTTGAATTAGAATTCTGGTTGTCATTATGCTAATGTTCTCAAGCCAAACATTCTATTCTTGCTTAAACTGCACAGAACATATTGCATTAGACGTTGTAATCTTGAATCATATCTACTAATAATCTTGGTGGAAAACTTTTTTGGTGCCTAAAAAAACTGTGATGTTCTTCTGCTACAGTATTTTTGGATGCTCAGGTCTGAGTCTATGGTTCAGATTGACAGGTCATACTAATTTTAAAAATGTTATATCTTAGCAACAGATAATTATCATCTGTTTATTAACTTCACATTGCAGTTGTTGATGATACTTTGTGATAGGTATCAGTTTATAATGCCTAGATCTTTTGTTTGATGATTATTGTGTGCCGTGCATATAAAAACAATGCTGTGTTACTCATTTCTCATTTTGGATTCCTTACAAATTCAACGAAATCTTTCAATTTCTTATTTTAAGTGGTCAGCGAGAGAATTAACTATTGGGGACAGCCAGCCTGGTAAAAGAGCAGTAGCCACAGATTTATGGTAATATATGTTTTGATGAAAATGTTCTTCCTTTTTGAAATATGTTGAATCCATTGAATGCCTTTCAGTCAAAAGGAATGAAGAAAAGCTAATTGAACCGACTGATCTTCGGTTTTGTCATCTTTATGCATTCTGCATTATAAGTTACCTAGGTCACGTAGCTAGCAGTGTAGTCCTCAATGCAAAACCATCAGAACGAGCCAGGTCTATGCCTGAGTTTTTGAATGAAGATCATGCTTGCCTAACCATATTTACCAATTGACTTGTCCCCGGAGTTTAATTTGAATGGTGCTAGGTTCACTTTCTCCTCATAGAAACAGAGGGTGTGGGTCTTTTCGAGTGCTTCATGTCAAAGGTCTTGCACTTCAAGCTCTCATAGATAAGGAATGTGGATTTCTAAGATCTTCCGAGAAAGGTGGTGGTTTGAGACAAATTGCTTCCTTAACCTTAATGACTTCTGTAACTTAAGTAATTTTCATAAAATGTACCTGATTATGTATTTGTTATAGAATATTCATACCCTATGCATAAGAACATTGAAAATTTAGTTCTTTAAGTAATGATAGATAAAGGAGAAGAAGCATATTTATATAAGACTGCCAAGAGTTTGGAGGAAGTATATTTTTGCTGATTGTAGAGGACAGCATCCTGAAGAAGCTTACACCCGGTTAGTTTAATAGATAGCTTTATAAGATATAAAACTTCTTGTGTATTGCTAATTTTTCTACTTTATTTTCTAACTGCATGATTAACTTTATGGCTTGAAACTTGTACAACAAAGCATTGTTCTGAAATATCTGAATATCTCTTCGAAGAAGCGGCAAACAAGTTCATCAAGTAGATTCAATCTCCTTGTTCTTTAGAGTTAAGCCCTTGTACCAACTCATGAATTTTGCTATAAACTCTGCAGAAGAAATAAAAAGAGTGAATCCCATATCATTGTTAGATGCATAGTTCTTAAGTAAATATGACCTGCATTTCATAAGAGCATGTATGATTGCATTTAGTTTTTGACTAGCTAGATGAATGTAATGCTGACTTACTTTTTCATTCATGCATTGCAGTTATGGTAATTGGTATTCTTGAATAAATAAAATGAAGGCCACCTTTTCTGAATTGAATAAAAGGAATATGCACTTCTTGCTGAAAACTAAACCACCAGTAGAATGTTTCTAGTAACTTGATTCAATAAAATGTCAAGAGATGAAATGCTCTATCACCCTCTTCATGTTTTGGTGTAACTAATAGTCAATAAATAAAAATTTTACCTGGAAAAATCCAATGCAAATCCTCACTCTTGATTCTATTGATGCAAACATTTGAAAAAGTCAAGACTTACAATAGTATCTAAACTAAATGGACATTTATGTATAAGTATATTGTGAAGATATGGTTCACCTAACCCCACCACCTAATGTTGTGAGTTGATGGGAGTGAGGTTGACACAATAAGGTCTTCCCTTCCCTTGGCAGAGGCATGGTCTTTCTTCCTACCCCTTCATTATGTACACTCTACCATTTTATATAAGAAAAAGGGGGCAGCTCTCAGTCACTAGAATTCCCAGCGACAGCAGAGTGAGGAGCTCTAAGTTTTCATTAAAAAGGGTGGTGGTTCTTCATTGGTTTTTTCCCCTCTCTCTTTGGAAGGCAATTGGCATAACATGGGGCTGTTCCTGAGCCTAGAAAAACACCCATAAATCGAAGAAGAAGCTGCCCAAAGGAGGAAGGAAAGCTGGACAGAAATCGGCTGAAAAAGGGTTGTATTTTTCCATTCCCGTTTTTCTTGTTTTTTGCCTTGAATCTTGTTTGTTGATTGTTGTTTTGGTTGTTTGAACTCCTAGGATCCCCAACATATATCATAGTGCTGCTAGGTGGTTCTTGAATTCTCACTCGCTTTCTAAAGTTCCTCTTTCATCTATATGATCTCTCAGTCTTTAAATATTATCAACACAAGTCTACATCAGTTCTAATTCTTTAGTCATGACCTTCTTTTGCTTAAACACAAAACCATAGTGCAGTATCCTGGAATCCACAGAAAATTCTTCAAATTTCACCATTTGAACATTGATTTTGGACATATAACCTTGCCCTGATAGGTTTTGTTCAACCTAAGCACAATGGTTGTCAAATTCCTTGAGTTTTACATATGTTTTATGGGAACTTCTGCTTTGCTCGTCTCTTATGAATTTGATTTTCTGCAAATCTTTCGTTCCCTGTTGTGGATTTCATATATCTCACTGTATATGCATGAGTTGGACTGTTATACTTGAAGTAAAAGTGTTGTATTTAGTAGACCAAGATGCCCCCTTCTACCTTAAGCGGTGGTGAAGCAGCAGAGTTCTAAAGATCTAGATAGGAATAATAATGACAGAGGCCATGATATTTTGATGTTTAGATTCAGTTTTGTAAACTGGATAATAAAGAGAATCCAAGAGAAATTCCTGTCTTTACTTGTGCATGTTTTCTTTTGGTTGAACCTGAGCCAAATGATGAAAGTAGCATTGTTTTCATATTATAGTTGTATTATTGCGGTTTCTCTTACCTTCAATCCTCATGAATTGATGGACATCTTTTCTTGGATCATTTTGTCTTTTAACGAGTTTCTCTTGTTGATTCTGTGCAGGTGCCATAAGTTGCTTACTCCCATGTTGTCTCTGGGTAAAGAAAGTTCGTAAGCCATTCATGCTAGTTTGTTTTGATTGCTAACAAGTACATTATGGAAAGTCAAAGGAATAATTGATTAATTGGAGTTTATACCTGATACTCATCATATAATTTGTCAAATTTTGGTTGTAACTGGTAGTCGAGATTCCTTTTCAGTTCTTCTGCTAGGGTCTGCATAGGCAGAATTATTTAGTAGAAATTTAATATTTGAGAGGAGACATTAGTACGAGGATGTTCTTACTTTGAATATAAATTCGGGAGCTACTTTGTGCTCTATTAGATTTTGAAGTTCTCCACGGATATTATAAAGCCTGTGGAAGCAAATAGGTCCTCAATATTAGATCTTATTGAAGCCAAATCTGACTCAGTAGTTAATGTATATAGAAAGAGGATCACTGACATTTTGAAGTCTAGAAAAATTATTTTTGACCTTTATATTCGCAGTGCTTAGGAATTGAAACTTACTGCTTGGGACTTTGCTCTTCTATTATGTTTTTTGCCAGTTTTGCAATTTTATCTTCCCATCCAGTCTTGATATCCTGATCTTCCTCCAAGGATGGACTGTGACCACATCATTGTACAAATGAGTAGGAATAAGAAAAAGTTTTGGAGAAATATTAAATCTACTTGACCGGTTATTGAAAAATTTATGTACTACTTGAAGTTCCAGGTAGCTTCAAATGAGCGTATGGCTTGTCTTAGGTTATTCTTGGAGCTGTTAGCAATCTGAACGGCCAACTGATGGGGTAGCTGTATTCCTTCTTGTTTTGCTATGAATTCCAAAACTGAAATAATCTGTAAATGACAGACGCAATGCAGAGAGAGAGAGAGAGAGAGAGAGAGAGAGAGTTAATTTCAACCAAGTTGAGGGTATCAGTTAGGTGCTGAACTGGAGATTCTAAACAAAATATGAGATGGTTACCTCTTCATTAGAAGGTTCTAGTAATTGAACAAGGGTGCAAAGTGACTTTAAAGGCTGTAGTTTGGAGATGTCACTGCAGCAAAATATTACCTTATTACACCAATTAAACCTCTCTAATGCCCACTTGATATATGTCAGGGTATCAGTAGATAGCTTGTCTGCCTCATATAGAATGATTACTGCATGAATCAATAAATAAATATGACTTACAGGTCGATTAAATTTGTCTGTATTTTGAACTAAATAAATAGTTAAAAGATACCTTTACAGTTCTCTTCATTGCACTGAAAAGCATTATCAGACTCTCTACTTTTCTCCTTGATTAGTTCGACAATGATATGTTTTTCATAGCCTTTCAATTCAGAGAGATTCACTTCGATGTGTCGTGCTGATACCATCAAATTTACGAAGATGCTGCTTACTGCTTCTCCCTGCATTTATGTATTATTTAGTGTCAAACTCTAGTCACTATTTCTACACATTTAGAGAAGTTGATTATTGCTGATATGCATTTTATGTGTTTTATTCTTCTCCTTAATGTGGAAATTATATCAATTTTCTGATTTTGCATAAAAAATATGGAGACTAAAGTTCTGTTATATGTTAAAACTATTTATATTCTCCAACTGAAATGCATTCTAGATAAGTGATATGTACTAATCATGCAGTAGGTTTTGCATAATATTTTCATTCTTTCATGATATATTTTAAAAATATGATATTTTCCCTCGTACAACAGTTGAGCAAACACTATTTTACAATCAATATTTTTAGTTTTAAGAGTGATGGACGGACTTCCAGTAATTTGACAAGATCCACACATTGAACAATGAAAAATGAAAGGGTTTACCTTCAAGTTGAATTCCTTGCATTCTTCTCTTGCCTGTAGATGATAAATAAATGCTATCAAAATATGAAATTATATATATATATATATATATATATATATAAAACTATGCGTGAAAGGGATTTCCAGTGCATCAATCGTGGATTAGAAATAGATATACATACCAATATATATGTGCATTTAGTCTTTGTAATTTAAGGACTTGAGTTAAACAAAAGTACTAATATATATATATATAACTATGCGTGAAAGGGATTTCCAGTGCATCAATCTTGGATTAGAAATAGATATACATACCAATATTGTTGGGCTGTGATGCCATTTGATCCAGTCCAACTGTTAGGCAATGATGAAAAGGCCCAAATTGGATTTATTACTTGGTCCATTAAATATATACCTAGAAGGCCCACTTAACCGAGCCCAATATCCAGCCCACACACCATTAGTCGCTCTTGGACCGTTGGATTGACCCGCTGATCAACGGTTGATGATATTTACTATAAATATCCTGCTTACTCCCTGTTTGGCTCTTGGATCGTCACTTTCTGTTTTTCTTCTTTCTCTCTGCCGTTTGGAACCTTCGAGTTCCTTTTGTCTGTGTGACCCTTCCTTCTTCTCTTTGTGAGGTTTCTGGTTGATTATCTTTGTGATAATCGTGTTCTTGTGTGATTCTCCTTTGTGTGAGTGATCAACCGAAGGTAGGCAGTTTGATTTCTTGAGTCCAGTGAAGTGACCTTGGTGTGTTGGGTTGTGAGGGTGCGTTTTGAGTCTCGGTGCCTCTGTGATGGTAAATGGGTGTGGTCTGAGCCTTCGATTGAAAGATCTAAGCTTTGATGTTGTGATTTAGGGTTTATGATGTAATCTGCGATTCTATGATTTCATCTATGTTTTCTTGGATTCAGTTTGTAATAGTGGTATCAGAGCTATAGGCTTTCGGTCGTGAGTCTTCGATTGAAGGTTGAACACTGGAAAATTAATTTCCAGGAGTTCGACCGGAGATCGCGAAACCCTAGTTTTGATTTTGTGTCGACATAGTGGTCTGTGGTGTTGATTCGACTCTGGACTGTGGAATGCGAGGGAGTTTCTTTGATTCCTCGATGTGATTTGAAAAAGAATCACAATACTGAGATCCTGTGGGCTTGTTTTGTGCTTGAACCCTAACTGATTGGAGCTGCCAGGCCTTGAAACTTGAGGAGACTGAATCTGTAGGGGCACGTTTTGTGCCTTGGTGACCTGCAGTGAATATATCCTTGCTGCAATAATTCTTTCTGGATTTCAGCTGGTGGTTAAATTGTTTAACCATCCTCGGTTTGCATTTCTTGAACCCCCTATGATCTCACACTCATTAAACACTGCCCTTATGTATATATGCCTCTATGTTGATATGTTTAGTTACTGTACATTGTAACATGTTACATTAGTTTGCGATATCTTGTAATAGTTGCTTGTGATCAATTAAGTTTGGGTGATTCAAATTGAGCCTTGACTTGAGAACTTGATTCTCACGGAATCCTGGTGAATTTGATCAACCCTAGGTCCTGCATATACTGATTCTTTAATTCTGAGATATTGTTTTACCTGCATTGTTGTATTTCCTGATTCTTGTGGTGTTTATATTAGAATACCTAATGTTCCTGCTATTGATTGAAACT